AAATTCTCACTTGAATTAGTGGTCTGCACCCTGCACCCACCCTTTTTGCTCTCATCTTTACTGCTGTGATTGAAGACATGTCATATGACCTCGAGCCAACGTGCCTTCCATTGAATCCATTCTGGCCCAAATGCAGCTTCGTTGGGCTTGTCACGTCCTACGTATGTCTGATGACCGCATCCCTAAGGCCCTTTTATACGGCGAACTGTCTCTGGGGAAGCGAAATCGTGGACGACCCTTGCTTCACTACAAGGACGTGTCGAAACGTAACATTAGTATTGCCCGTCTCCCAGCAGACTGGGATCGTCTAGCCCAAGATCGTCAGACGTGGTGGGCCCTAGTCCAACAGGGGGCAGAACGGGTTCAACTAGCGAGGCTTGGGTCCGCAGATAGGAGGAACGGCGTGCACGCAGGCACGCCCGTGCTGTTGAGACACCTCATGCCGGCATCGTCTGATAAGACGGCCCGACTACGACTGTATACCTGTCACCACACACTAATGAAGAAATGAGACTGGACGTCCCTTGATTCATCATACCATAAATTTATTTGGACACCGCTGTTTCAAAACTAAAGAAAAATGGAAAGAGTTCTGTACACGGACGCCACTTGACACCCCGTGCTCAAATCCTACGGGACTAGTCTTAAAAAGTGTTTTCTAAGTAAACGACTTGTTGTTTCCCTCCTAAAAACTTAACTTTTTTGGACATGGTTTTGCTTTGACTAACAGGTCAATGTATGGAATAATTACTGGCATCCGTATTTGGAACTCTTCTCAGAAAAATACATACATTACGTAATGCGTTCATAAAAGTATGAATTAAATCCACAATTAATAATGACATGAACAAGTTTGGGATGAATACTGAGCCAATCGCTAACGGGCAGCACCTATTCAAAAGTGTCATAAGTTACTGAAGAGTTGATTCCTCAATACAATTACACTGTAGAAACCCCTCATGTGAAGGTTTTGTCAATTTGTATACGAGTCAGCAGCACCCCTCTCGCTGAACAGGTTTTCCGTCAGCTTTGTATCTGATGGTAAACCCGAACTACCCACAGGATACTGTGAGAAGCTTCTAACCACGCACGAACAAGTCATAGACCTGGGAGTGGATTACACCTAATTCCCTAAAAATGGGAACACCATACTGTCTCAGCCTAATCACGTGATGCTAATGTACGATAACATGTCAGACATGTTATTCAGAAAGCGAGGTGTTTAGAGCTTTAGGCCAGAAAATCTCCAATTTCTGGTCAGCACGCGCGTCGCCTTACTTGCGCATCGGCAAAATAAAAGTTTTAATACGGGCAATTCACAATAGTGCGCCTCCAAGAATTTACAATGCGTTGACCAATCACAGTGCGTGACATTTTCCAAACGCGCATTCAGTCATTGGTGATCAATGGTTGCCAATGGGTCCGCCATCTTGTCTTTACAGGTTGCACAGAGCAAATACGCGCCCATAGAACACAGTGCAAAATCGGACCGAAATAGCGCCGCCTGTTGACTCTCGTGAAGAGGTTGGCCTCCTTTTTTCACTGGAAATTCAAGATTATGGCCAAAAGATCACTTTTCGTTTCAATTTCATGGGGGTTAGCGACGAATTTTTTTTAATCGCCTTTAAACGAAGATACCCAAAATAGCAGTAAAACTAACGGTGAGTTTATGACTCTGTAAAATCCTCAAAACCCAGCATACGTAACCGTTTACCCTATCAATTTTTGTACTGGGCATTCCTCACCCCCAGAACGACAGTAAGTTTATCTTTGTATAGAGGTCGTGGTCTTCAGGGAGGGGACCAAAGTCGGAAATTTGTTAACTTTAAAAAAAAAAGTCCAAATGCCACCACCTTCCATCATATCCTACCTCTGTTCATGCTGAAAAACCTGGTTTAGTCACTTTATAGTCAGGGCATCCTCTAGCCAGAAAAAAATTCCAGCCAGTCGCTAGCCAATTCCCATAAGACTGTGTGTTAAAAAAGAACGATATCATCCTGATTTATTCATGTCAGTGTACTACATAAACCGTCTATGAAGATACTCTATTGATCTGCAACGTGAAGAACTTCTGCTTCTTAAGCCCGTATCTCACTGGGCTGCGACTGTTGCAGACAATTTGCGAACGGCATTCCCGAAAGAATTTCAAAAATGTCTCGAAACGTTCAGGTTTTTTCAATATCCTCGCTTGAGTCGCAGTCTCGCTTTCGTATTGGGAGAATTTTGAACATGTTCAAAAATGTTAAGTGACAAATTTTCTGTCAAAATAGTCAGAGTCCTTGCTGGTGTCTCAAACCTGTCTTGAACCCTTCTCAATTTAGTTTCTGCGAGTCAGAAAGTGCGAGAAATATGAAACTTTGCGAGGGGTTGGCGACCTATGAAACTAAACTGTGACTGGTTGAAGACAAAAATGAAAATCCGACAATCCAGGTGCGAGCCAGGCGCAAAATGTCGTGCTACAGTCGCACGGCATATATGTATATGTGAACTCCAGGCGAATTCTGACCGAAATTTTGCCAGGAGCTCGTGTGACTTACGCAAATGTGACGTAAGTAACAAATCGGTACGAGTCCAAGTGAAAATTGTCACTACATTCTGGTGGGTTTTTTTTTCAGTTTTGTTTCTTCAACTAGTCGCGAGCTGTCGCAGCTCAGTGAGATACGGGTTTTAAAGCTTTTATCATTACCTGGGCTAGGCTGGCGACTCGCACTCTGTCCGTTAGGCGGTTGGGATTTGTGTGCTGGGGTTAATGACGAGACCTGCATTTCGTTTCGTGCATAAGTGGTTTAGCTCCAGGGAACAGAAATGTGGGTAACAGGGCAAGAAATACTTCGCGACTTTCAAATTGGCCTCGCATTCAAATGCACATGTAAATTTATCACCGTATCAGGTGTACCTCAGATTTAAATAGTAATGACCACTCGACAGTCTCTTAATGTTAAATGTGCAAAAGAACCTCTCCTTGAACAGCCAGGTGAGAGAAATCTCTTTTTCAAATGGTATGTACGTATTAGAAATAAGTTGCAACTTTTTCAAACTGAACTCAGTTTGCAACTCATTCAAACTGAGAACAGCTTTGAAGTAGTGAAGTAGCCAACACTTCTTTCAAAAAAGGTAAAATATAGCCCTGTGGTATCCCACATAGCATTTTGAGGGCCACAGCAATAAAATTGAAGATAAGAGCTTTCAAATGAAACCTTTCTTACCTATTCATGTTGTTGCATAAAAGTGAATACCAACGGATTGAAATCATGGTGCTAAAACTGCACCGGTTCACTTATTGAGCCTCGTTGCATTTCACATGGCCAACTGCCGCACCTTGATTGTGAATAATGTTTTGCCAGGTTATGCAATGGGGTTAATCCAAAAGGCCTGGCATATCCATTCTGGCCATAGTGGTATCATGAAAGTGAACCAACCACATTTTTGCACCCTAAATTCTTGTTGATGGTGCTCAATCATGCATGGCCCTGGACATGAAACCTTTGTTATTCTAACATTTATGATCTCCACTTAAAAGTGATACCATGACCCTTGTTGAAAGGTACATGTATATGGTATGGTCGTATTAACCCCTTAAAGTTAAAGCATCGTTTAAAAAGTCGAAGGTTTATGCATGATGTCCTGTCGTATAGTATATTTATTAACAAAAGACAGGTGATTGTGTTTGTTATAGTCCACAAATGTGATATCTAAATTGAATGCAAAGGGTTGGGTTAGAACAACCACGACTTGAAGAGTGAAAAGTATTTTTGAACCAATATTTAACCTCAGAAACAAATTGAGCTGGCCTAAAACTCTGTTTCGACATGTTCAATCAGTGACGCTTCTCAATGTTAAAGTGTGCTTTTTAAGTGATTATTTTTAAGTTAAGCTGGCATTACTGTTAAACAGACTCACCTCTGGCTCTAGCACTATTTTGTAAGTTGTGTCTTTAAAAACAAACAAAAACAACAGTTTCGTCAAGTCAGAACGAAGTTATACATGTATATAATACTGATCTTTCTCTATATCAGTATGTCAGTTAAATGATAAGCAGGTGGGTGGATTCTCAATTTTCGATTAAATATTATAAAGAGATATAAATATATGTCCACTTGTATGAGGTAAACTCTACCCAACAAATCGTTAATACCGACTAAAATCAAAGAAAATGGTCACTGATAACTAAAAAAAGCACTTCAATATTAAAATGTGCAGGTATATGTTTCCACTTGATACATGACAGAACTATTGCTATGGTAGTATAAGGGAAAGGATGTACATGTTTATGTTTCCACTTGATACATGACAGCACAATTGCTATGGTAGTATGAACAAGGGAGCGGTTGTCCATTGACCAGCAAATTCTGCACAAAAGTTTTGACTGTGAGTTTCAAGAATATTCCTTTCGCTTACTTGTGACATACAATCCGTATTATGCAACGATGGAAAAAGTGCGTGTCAGACTCTCTTTTGAGATTAATTAAGTTGGCTTGATGGGTGGCAGGACATCGATCATGGTTAGTCGGAAGTTACATTTTGATCCAATCGTTTTTGCATTTAAATACACCTTTGAAACACAGGGTGCCAGGCAAAGTTTGAACGGTCGACCGTTTTGTAAATTTTTTACTTCCGCTGACGACTGGGCTTTACAATAATGCGCTAGTTGTATTTTGATAAAAATTTATACTCTATACATGAAATAGATGACATCGAAACACCCCGAATTGTAACATGAAGAATGGGGAAAGAAAGAGTAGTATTTCCAAACCATACATTAATTCAATTAAAGCGCGTCCTTTAATTCTATACGCGTTAGACAATAATGTAGCAGCCGTTTTAAAACTCGATATGATACTGGTTATACTCACAATAGACTATCAATATTAACAAAACCCGTATCACTGCGCTGCTTATGGATACTTATTCGTTTTTTAATTGCTGCCAATATATGACCCACCTATGTAGGTCATAAAACCTCCATTAAACTGGTAACTGATCGGGCACTGCTCGCCTGAAGTCCCGGTGACCTGGTGACAATGGACGTACTCTCTCCCATCTGATTTGTGTCTTCTACGTCATCATCGTCATCATCATCCCAATGATTTTCATACATCGACCGAGCTTCGCTAACGTAATCCTCAACTATTTCTCTGTCTGGTCGGTCACCATCAGTGTTATCTGCCTCTCCATTCCATTCATGCTGCAATTCATCTTTTGTCACTTGTACTTCAATCCTTATGGGAGGCTCATCGTTCTCGTTCACTACTTTGACAATGACACCGTCTTCATTTGAAAGGCGTTTTTTTGTTTTGGAGAACTGGCAGGTATGGTAACGGAAATCGGGCGAAGGATGTCTTTTACATGACAAAGAGTCACCACAGTGGCATCTTTGGAAGACTGCAGTTAGGCGATCTCGTTTCTTGGTGCATACATCTCCTTCCACTAAGATTGGTTTACATATGCGCGTCCAGAAGTGCTGCGCGCAACAAAGACCCTGAGCGCACTGGTCGGTTGCCTCACACACCTCGTCTTCACGAACTGTCGCCAAAAGAAAGAAATAAAGTCAGCATCAATAAAGATAATAATGAAGAAGAGAGGTTTTGGGGAGACTTGTTAATTCAATGTTAGGTTAACCCATACATTTCCACACCCATAGTTGTGGGGTCATACACTCGATATTTTACCTATTTTGTGGGGAACAAAAACATTATGGGGACAAAGCAAATGTCCACCAACTAGGTCCAGATTTGCCTAACAAAAGAACTTGTCCCTTTAATGCAAGAACATATCCCCTTAACGTGGTGAATGCCTACCCACATTAAACGCATTAGGTGAGATTTGAATCCAGCACGTTCATTTACTGACAGATCCCGGCATCTCGTCATACGTACGCCTCTAAAGTCTTGCAATGGTGGAGGCACTATGCCAGCTTCAGGATGGTAACACCCAATAAAGATGCTTACGCCACCATGGTATTGACACGTCACATGACTGGCTTTTAACTTACTGTCAGCTCAGAGTGTGTGTAACAAGTACATTACACACTGTACACCGTGTACACGACCATGAACTATTTGTTAATACTTCTGGAAATTGACCTGAATGGTCGCATTACTTAGAACCTACACTCTACACTTACTGACAATGAAGAAAATCAGTTTGAAAGTTAAATGTTTTTCCCCTCATAGATGACAAAACAATATGACTCAAATTTACTCACGTTTCCGCATGTTTTCTCTGGTGTGTTGGGAAATACTTTCTTCTTCCGAATCGGTAGAAAAAGCTTTTGCAAATGAAGAATCGTATCGCATCTCCTTTGGAACACATCGGCCTTGTCGGCACACGTTGCCATGACAACACATGCCATTCCGCTGGCAGCGTCTTCTGGACCGTCTGCAGGGAAGACATGACTTGTGGCCCTCTCCTCCATGACAAAATGACTTCTGTTCGCAATCATCATCACCGTTGCATAAGACCTGCAAATTTTGAACAATGAAAGTTGGAGTCAAAACTTCAACAATTTCGGCAGTGATCTTCGAGAAAAACTTAACACTTGCAGTCACTTTAGTTTAATAACCGTCTGAAAATACCTCAACAATGTAATTCTATTCCTGGCAAATCGCAAGTTATGTATATGTTTTGTCTTCCAACTGATTTTGTAATTCATACTTAAAAGAGCTCCCTTGAATTTTATCCTCACAGTCGAGCCATACACAAACCGCCGGCCACTGACAGCTGATGTACCCCATTTTCAAAGAAGTTCCGCAAATAGCTAAGAAAACACTTGGGCGAGTGTAGTTGCCTGACCGACAGACTGTTTAGACAGAGTCAATAGGGATTTGCCTGTAGCAAACTTTCATGCATTATAAACATGAGATATGACAAACAAGCATGTCACTTTGAAGTGACGGTCATTCAAGAGGTTTGCACGGAAGTGACAGCTTGAATTTCAGACGGAATGTGATAATGGCACAGGTCCATTAACACAGTAGCGCCCTCTGTCAGATTTAAATACACACTCAATACGTTTCAACCCATATTCATAGCTGTATGGTTGAACCAAGGTGATGGGTAACAGTCGTCACTGACGATTTTTTTTTAACTTATAAGAGTGCGAGTAGTAGAGGGCATGGCAGTCGCTACAAATTATTTCAAGGAGAGAATAGTTTCCGTAGAAAAAAGAACTGTTAAAACACGTAAAGACTTTGTCTACGCATACGCAGCCTATTCAACTAGCCTTCATGAAGCTTCAATGAGCGGGCTGCATACACGTAGACCCTATAATTATTGATGCGTTTTTAAAAAATGTGCCACAAAAATTTTGGTCCAACCAGAATTCTAAAAGAAAAGATTAATTTTGCTTGATTGTAATATTCTGTATGAAGATAATCACCTGTTTGCAATATTTTCAAACGGTACTTGAACATTCCCTTTCTTCAGGGAACACCATGGCATGGCATGTAATTTCCCCATTTGCGACAAGTTAATATTAATAAGACATTGCCAATGCATTCAAATAATGATCCAATAGAAGTTTTTCTTTGAAAATGGCAAGTCAAAATTGAAGAAAAACGGTGGTCAAATTATGCAACAGGTCTCCATTTTGAGGCAGTGGGCCCATGTGCTAGTGGAAGGCATTCACACTTGAAACTAGGTCACTACATGTACCGGTACGTGTTTAGCAAGTGGTGTGATAAGGCTTGATATCATCTTATGACAACCATCTTGTTTCATTTGTTTCAAAAGGTTGAAGTTCCCACAGGCCATGTTCGATGCGATTATACTATCTTGAAGGGTCACGACACAATGGCATTTTTAAATGCAAACATCAATAATTAAATTGCGTAAGTACAATAATTCCTGCATTTATAAAGACCTGGCCTTAATTTTCTTTCCTTCGGTGATACGCTACAGCAATATCCATGCAGCCTATCAACACAACTACGTCAGCGTTTGAAGCTAGAGGCCTAGGGATCAGAACCATAAGAATAACTACAGTAATGGACAAAGAAAACGACATAAGTATTTAAGGAAACAAGTTGAAATACTAATTGAACAATTGAACCATACTTGCAACTCGGTTCACACATGTACATTTACATGTACAACGTATAATACTGAGAGATTACTCGCACGGCCCTGTGTTTCCACGTGGGAAAATGTGGAAGGAAACCACCAGTAATGTAACTTAATATGGTAGCAATTGACAGGCGGGCGATGGCGCCCAGTACACTGGCAGCAGCTGCATAAAGCATTGTTAGAGCAACACTGGTTGTCGGTGGAATGCCTGCTCAGCTTTGAAGATCGGCTTCTTCAGAAGCAACCGTCACACCTGGGGGGGAGACCGTGGCACCGAGAGGCCAAGATCCAACTGTTTATTTATTCATTTGATTTCTCACTGATCCCGGACGGCCTGACGTCTCCCAAGGCCATAGAATCTGGAAACTTAAAACGATGAATGTAAAACCATTTTCACTGTTGGAAAAATGAAGAAACGTGTATATATAAACACGTAATGAAATAAGTGAAAGATAACAACGACCTGATCGCTTGTAGCTGATATGCACTAAATCAAGGATAAATTCAAGAGTCAAAAGATCTTTATTGCCACAGGTGCGCTGTGATTGCAATTTTGTTTCAATGTGCGGCTGATTATTTTTTGCCAAAGTGGCAAACTATTTTTAAGAACAAGTACAGACATTTGGCGTCCTGGCAAAGACATATCCAGGGATATTGGGTCCAGGGGAGAGGGGGAATGAATTTTTATCCAAAAATGACTACCTTATTTTTATACCACTGCAACAGTCCTCACCCCCCAAGATCAGGTGTGTTGTCACGGTTTCATTTCCTAGAAAGTCTGCAACATGTCTCCAGAAAGGGAAATTTGCCCCCCGTATATCACTGCGTCCTAATGATCATGCAAAATGGCGACTAGTTTCAAAACTTCTCATCAAAATGAGAAATTAATGGATCCAAGATGGCTCGCTTCCCCCAGATAAGAAGACAGTCGGTTTCTTTTTAATGAAATTACAGAATGGAAAATAGATTTAGATTTATCAATGGTGGTGGTAGGAAAAACGTGTTCCCTTTGCACGTCTCACATGAAAGTGCATATCTAATGGCAGAGCTGGGCCTCCATATTTCACTTAGACCGAGACCCCGCAGTGCTAGGCAATTACAGCAATTTTGAATTAATAACAGCTAAACGAGTGCCAACTGTGACCCACCCTGTCGGGGATCATCTACGAGTGATCAACCGGCAATTGGCAGCAATTACCTGCCAAAAAACTACCGACAAACGAACAAGAGCCTAACCCTCTCTCCAGCATTCCTAGAGTTACACACCCGTCAGTTGGCCTTGCGGGCTAAGATAGCGGGAGAATGTTGACCCACCCGTGAGGGCAGTTCTGCCAGCAAATCCAACCACTGCCAAACTAAATGTAGATACTAGCTCCAACCATGGAGGGAGAATGCTCCAACTTAACTTGCCCCTATTTATTTTTGATGAAAAAAAGTTAAAATGACATCATATTGGAATTCTCAGGCCGGCATTGTCATGTGAATCTCTGACCATGAATGCTGTTTATCCCACAGCCTCATGGTGGACACTGAGCTCAAGTGCCAACCTTAAACTTAGTATAAAAGCAGGCACTGAGGATGTCATCCCTGTCGGGCGAGTGTCGATCAACCCCCCCCCCCATTCTGCTCTCTTCAATGTCACAACGGGCTCCTCCTACAAGTTACCGCTTCAAGTTTGCGCCCTATGACCACAATAACACAAATGAGGACACGCTATATTTCCTCTTTTTCCTGGATGAAGCGGACTACTTTAGTTGTACAACAACCAAAGCAGACAATCGTCGACTAAGTCAACTGCAGAAACAAGGAAAATGTAACAATTTATCATACGTCGAAAAATTGACAGATTCTAATATAATAAGTGATTCAAGCTCTTACAACTTTTTACTGTAAAGTACTGTACAAGTGTACACATACACGCACACATCCACATCCCACTTCGCTTATAAACACAACAGAAAGGTACGATGTGTAAAAGCTAGCCCCGTTCAGAGTGCTTAATGTTCGCATTTGATTTTGCTATAAAAACGAAATTTTACCATGTGATCAGGGTTACAGCTTTCTTATTAATTTTTAAGTGTTAATTCGATCAATGGAAGCCATACTTCAGAACTCTATACCAGCACATTTTAGTGTCCATGCTCGAGTGGATTGTGGAATGCGATGGGGAAGGTTTCAGACCTTCTAACAAGAATGCTGAATGCTCCGTACAAGAATGCAACTGCTCCGTGTAGTCCTCTCGTCACCTACAAGAGTCGGCGTGATGCTCCTGAAAGAAAATTCAACACCCTTCTGAATGCAGTAAGCTCTTTTTTTCTATTAAGTTATAACCTAATACTGATCTATCGAGAAAGTCTATCGTGGCTGACTGTGATAGCAGATAGAACTTGAAGAAACTCACCAGCTGGGAAACTGTCCGGCGCCTGTTGAACAGATTTTCTTCGAATTCTCCATGGACTGCCGTACATGTGGTGAACTTTCGAGACGCGGCAGCCTTTGAGTCTTTCCCAATAATAAACTTTCTTAAACCAAGCGTTCAATTTCTCTTGCAGACCTCTTGCAGAATGGACTGAAGTAGCCCTGAAGACAGCTAATTTTTTATTTACGTCGAGGGTGATGACAGAAATCCGAGATACATGTATCCTGTAAAACATTACACCGTATAAGCCTTCCTTTCGAAAATATACTTCCATACCGTTTGGCACAAATTTGAGACTGAGGCTTCAGGAAACCACTTGGTTTTACCTGTTACGTACCGACTCAGTCTGACAGTAGGAATAATTTATCGTACGTTAATTTTACAAAGTTGAACTGCAATGTAGCCTACCCAAATCCACACCTTATACAGAATTTCATCACCGTGGAGGAAAAAAATAGCTCTTCTTGGCTCTTGGGTGGATATAGTTCATACCGTAGACTTGTATCCGGCATGATCCAACAGATTCTATATTAATACACAACGACAGTTATAAAGCTGAAATATAAACTTTGCGAAGAAATGTCAACACAGACGAATGGCTTAAGGCCTAAACACAACCAGCAAAGTAACCAGTGTAAAGGGATCAGGTAAACGAAATGTTTACCAATTATTGTCTTCTCAACGTTCAACAGTTGTCTCTCAAGTCACAGCAACATCACTTGACGTTGCAACTGTAGTTTTTTAGGGAAGCTTGGTTCTTTTTATAAGCATGGTTGATGAATCCCCCATCACCGTAAGACTGAGAACCAGAAAAAAAGACAATTTAATAAAAGATTGAGATGTAACATCCATGACAAAAAGATGGTGGCGCAGTATAGTACATATTGGGGTTTTGGGAGCCTGCATATTGACCCTGGGGTTGGTCTAGTCCCGTGGTATTCACAATGGGGTTGCTAAATACACCTGCTCACTATTACAGAGCAACAGCCAGAGGTCTCCACCTCACAGCAAGGATTGACTCAATGGGCTGTGCGACTCATTCCTTAAATTTAGTACAGGGTTACGATGCAGATAATTATGACAAAAAATCCGGCATTCAAATTTTATGGTACAATTTAATAAAAATGTTCAAAGTAGTACAAGCACAGCGATAATATTTAAGGTTAGCTACTACATTCTTCAGCCGCGTCCCAGTTATCGAGAGTATACATGTATGTCAACCAGCTGACAACTTGAAAACATTTGCGAGTTTGTTTCTGCATTCAATTGGGGACCCTGAACAATGGAGGACAATGCGGTCCCCGATTGACAGAGGGGGTCCCCAGTTGCAGGCAAATACACACACACAAAAGTGGACAGAAAAGCGTGATATGTTGAAATCACCGTTGCATGTGTTTAAAGTCTTTAGTGAGGCCAAAATATCACTTCCAATTCATACAAGATAATTTTGTGTAAAATTTCCTCATCCATTGCTAGTAAGTCTGGCTTTTTCAAAAAACATTTGGCTTCCTATTATTAGCAAATCAAACTTGCTATTCAGGAATGTTGGTCAAGTCGTCCCCAAGTCATGTCGTCAGCTTCGTATTGTTTTCAAACCTGTCAATTTCAAAAAGGTTTTGACATGCCTTTAGATCTTTACAAACCCAACAATAAAATACCAACTCGTGCATTTCAAGCACACATCTGTCTCCCACATTACGACTTTCATGTACATGAACGTTGGGTCTTTGACATAGGCCTGTCATGGCACGACAAAAAACGTGATTTATTACAAGATACCCTTGATCCACATATTTTGGTAGAGAAATTCATGTGATAGGGAGAAATGTTATGTGTTTGACTGTGCCAAGGTCGAACGAATGCTTATAGGAGAGACTGGAAAAGTGGTAGGTATATATGCAACACATGTATTCCTTCAAGCCAGGTTTTCCATATTTGACAGAATTACAAATTTACATGTAGACTTTGAATATCTGTATCTTAAATACCGTTTCAATCCGAACAGCTTAAGAAATTTCAAGTATTGATTCCAAGAAAAAGATGTCAATCTAGCCACTTTCGTTCCCTCCACTACACGCATGACATGCATATTTTGACTTGATGCCAAACCTACTCAGCAAATACTCAAATTAGTATTTCACTTATTAATGAATAATTGTATCTAAGGTACTTATGTATACTTCAATCATTTTCAATACTAGCATAGGCCTAGCCACGTTTTATTGATCATGTTGAGATGAAGCACATCATAGACTTTAGATCTAATGATAGCTACATGAAAAATCCTGCCGAGCTCTCACAATCCAGGGTTCGAGGAAATAGTATTCGTGTTCATGAAATTAAGATTATTAAGAAATACTTCGACGTATACGTTTACAAAAAAGTTACTCACCAAAGTTCTCTGGAACGGTTTCCGTTTAGGTGATGTCATTCCCAACTCTGCTGGGTTCTGATTTTCATGATGCTTGCTAGTATCACCTTGGATACTCGGCCGATCACTTGAGTCAATGCTTGTGTCCAGCAACAGCTCCCGTCTCCGCTCGTGAACATACACACCGTTGGTGGATGTCAAAGCACACAGCAAAAGAACAAGCCCAACCTTCACCCAACATGAGTATGATACTACTGTGTTCGCCATTTTTTCAACAGAGGGTAAAATCTTTGGACGGCAATGTTATCAACCTTAACCTACTGGTTCAGTCCGAGGAGTAGAAGTCATACGTAGACTTCAAACAGCTAATAGTACATGTGCGTCAGCAAACATCATATTATGTACTGACAAATTCAACGATGGTGCCTGGCAGCATAGCTGTTCAACTTTTCCAGTTAATGATGCTATACCCGTTTTTTAGCCAAGAAGAAAAAAACAATCACTAACATTTCACACAAGAAATAAAGCTTTTTGTTCTTTCGATCAGGAACACAGACATCGCTTCCAAATGAGTAGTGATCTGAATGTGCAGGTACAGTAGCGACTACTCTCGACTGCTGCCACGCATTGCTTTGCTTACATCGCCCATTCCCTGAGGATTAATTATAGCTCAATCATTGCCCACTACCCCCTAAACATTACAAAGGTGCCGACAAAGGCTTGCCGATAATACTCGTTAATTGGTCAGAGCCGTACGTCCCACGCGTCAGACTGGAAGCACACACTAAACTACTAGCCGATAAACCGCAGGATAAACTATGCAAAGCTTAGGGGGTCACGTCACGGACGATTTTTGCATCAAGAGCTAGGTCGTCTTTGTACATGTATTTCAATTGAAAAGTTCCATGCCTAAAACCGGGGATCACGAACGCCTGAGTGATATATTGGAAAACCTTGCTTTTTAACTGAACTCCCGATTTATTATCCTGTGAATCTTCAAATTTGGTTCTTCTACCGAAATTTTCCATTGCTCTCCATGTTCAGGAGAAACACAGTCCCTGATCCTTTGTGAACCCATGCATGGGGCTAGCAATGATTCAGAAGAGGTCACTTGTTTGATGTGTTTTTTAAATATATAGTTGCATATTGCATCGGCTATGTACTGATGGGTCCAAGGAAGGGGTTAAAGGAAGGCAATATCCCCCAAAATGAATGCTTATTTTAAATTTTGCCATCGCAAGTCATGAGCTACACATATCTTTAATCATTAATGCCGCGTTGAATATAGCGCACGATTTCGGTAAAGGCCTTTTTTTTTCAAAAAGAACTACATGTAATTACTCTTGAACTCCACCAGCGGATGCACTCTTTGGTGCAAGGGATAGATAACTATACAAGAAGGGACGGTGTGAGAGTGTGGATGTTGGATTGGAGGTTTGATTGTCAGAGTAATGGTATAGAGGTTAAGTTTGTAATATAGAGGCTGTCAATTTTCGTGGGTGTATGAAAAGGTTAGCTGGGTGCTTGGTGGATGTGGGTGTCTGCAGTGGACGTGAGCTGAATGACCCGATGCATGGTATATAGATGGACGATGGACGGGGCTTTGTCCACCATGGGTCAGGTAATCAACGCAGCTCTGTGAACATACTCTAGGCTGTCTATTAAACTTCACCACATCCACCCATCCAGCAGCAAAGGACGCGAACATATTGATTTGCAGTAAAAAGTTTTGATTGCCAACGTTTTCGACGGCAACAATGTTTTAGGCCTACTTTATATTTCCCAGGTTCTCTTTGTCTCCATATCGCTTTGGACGAAATTTTTAATTGAATTTATGCCATGAATCATACCCACGCATACAGCGATGAATTCCCATGAATCATTTCATGTAAACACTTCGAACAGCCCACCACATCGCTTAACTCTGCTTGCGTAGGATTTCAGCTTGCCTACCCATAATGGATTTGGCTCATTAGAGACTGTTATTTGCGTTACCACTTGATGTTTGTGGCATGATAAACTCCGGATGACGTGCAAATACCGCCTCTAGAGAAAAACACTAAAGATGGAATCGACTACTGGCTTTACACAATTAACCTATTTAAAAACCTCTGTTACAGTCCAGATGGACTCACGTCAGCCACGTAGAGGCAAATAACACCATTAATCGTCTTTATTTACTTGATGTACAGGGATCTAGTTGATTTGAAACCGTTATCATTGAAACAATGACAGTTTCATCTTTCAGCCTTCATTATCATGTCCATCACTGTGCCATTACCAAGCCACTCGATCTTAATCACCTCCACAGGTAAACTAATAAGGACCTGTGACGCACGCAATGGAACTATCTTGAGAATGGTCATGATAGAAACTGGAGGTATACGAAGGCGCCATGCCGGAGAGTTTGGGACGGCATCTTCATTTTCATTGGGTTTTTGGTATCACTGCGGTTTACAAATCCTGCTTCCAAATGCAAAATGGTTTAAGGACCATGTCTGGAATTTCAAATTGACCTAGTTCTCTACTATCAGACATGCAGTAACAACACGTACCATGAAAGAGTCCTGTTTAAGGTATTTTGTAGCTCGCCTGATCAGATTTTTTTCTTGTGAACAAGCATGGAGCTATACAAGCGACTCGAGGTTTCGGCCATACCCGCGTGATGTTTATTTAGCCACCACTGCCTGGTGCTCCTCTGGCGCACACTCTCCACACATCACACGATGCTATGACCAGCCTAAGGCATCGATGTTGACATGGCGGTTGGGTGTTGATTGCTCCAGCGCTCTGAACATACCGTGGGTTAAAAGGTCGACTTGGAAAAGCCCCCGGTAGCAAGTCGACAAGTTTATCCTTCAGGTTGGTGATCTTGATTTTTGCCGACGATCAGTCGCTAAAATCTTGCAGGTAAGGCCCCCCACCGGGGGGAGGGATAAAAAGCTAGAGCTACATTTTTTTTAGAGTCCGGAGACCAAGCCGTTGGAAAGTTATACGCTGTAACAATTTAAGGTGGATTCCCTTCCTGTGACTGGGATGTATTCCACTCCTCATGCTCTGATGTCTCGTCATATTGTTTTTCCCGGTTGGTGCGGTCTGACTTTTCAAAGTTCATCAGGCTTTTGAATTTTTGTCAGAAGCTCGGGTATTTTAGGAGGAGATCATGCTTAGCCAGGTTCAGTTGCTCAGGTAGGCAGGCATTTTTAAACCTAAACAGAGCTGGTGGCAGAATCCGCTCTCAGCCAACTTTTCCGATATAGCTGTTTTTTTACGAGCCGAGGCCTTGAGCAAATTTTTAAGCAGGTCACAGTCATTTTGACACAAATGTAAAATCGAAGATGCTGTACTCAAGCAGCACCCTCGTTACTGAGATAGGTTAGCAAAAATTAATGTGTTCTTTTCCGCTACGTTGACCAGTGCACGCTGGCTGGCACGAGTGTAGCCTCCACATTCAAATGGCCGTAACGGAAAATATGTCAAATTGAGTCGAAACTCCACATTTGTACTGATAAGCAGTATTTGTACATGCATGCTGTGTTTTAAAAAATGTTGTATGAGACGGCTGGACTCTTTTAGCGCAATCCGCCCCCCCCCCGGCTGTGAGCCTAGGCCTAATATAACCCGGCTTTTTCAGGATTAGTCCTTGAACGAATCGGCCTGGTCGCGTTGCGATTGTGTTGCGCTTTCGTTGGAAGTCCACCGCTTTGAGTTCGATTACTGCAGAAGGTGGAGCCCAGCACATTGCTTAATTCCAATTTGTTAAAGAAAATATTTTTAATGTCCTCTCTTATTCAAAGGAGTTCCCTTGTTGCCTACAGTAACATTTCCTCCAAAATCCCCTCATTTCAGTTCGCTGAACATCTGGAAATACTCAGAACGTTTCAGTATAGATGGTTAGGTTGTATATGCTCAGTTGCCCCAACAAACGCCTCAAATATGTCGGCTTAAGACGCTTCATTATAATCCCAGGGAATGAGGTTCCTTTTAAATCAAAGGCTTTGAAGTCACCGCTAGCTAGGCTCAATCCTCTTTCAATGAAAACTTTGTTCACTTTCGAAGCTTTATCGCAACGGACATTTACCAGACACGTTAGGCTGGTACAATAAAGGGATTTATAATGCGAAAGTCCTGATCGCCTTAAAAAACCATGTAGGTATCTTGTTGTTAGAGTTTTGAATAAGATCAGAGTGTCCTTCTGCTGGATTTAATCCCTACTTCCTCTCAGCATGATGTTCGTCCAACTGTCTTTATTATCTGGCTTGTAACACATTTGCCTTCCAAACAAACTCAACTCACATCCTGTGATGTCTGCAGAAAACTTCCTACGGCCTTTACTGCACACTCTGTATTCTAATAGGTGAAAGTATATGTTTAACAAATACATGTAATTACTGTGGAGACAATATCGAACCCCTTTGCGATATACTTTGGAGAAACGCTGAGCTTTACTATTTTAAAAAGTTTCATTCTAGTCTTCGGAAAACTCGTCCCTGGTTGACTATCCCGTATCTATTGCTGGCTGCGATGTTTTGTGTGGAATTTCCTTGCGATTTAGGGAAGTGTGAATGAATTGATCGTCAATGCCGCAGCTTCTGTGACTTCTATTACGCCTGAGTGAGTTTGATTCTCTCGAATTCAGTTGTTGGCATTTAATTGGGTACTGCACGTCAAAGGTTCATACATGAACACTCAGCGGCTTGAACTGTGAAGATGCATTTTGCTCGGAAAAAAAACCTAATGCACTCCTGACATTGGAATGACAAGCCCCTTTACAGGGCCTGTTTTACTCACCACCAATTAGGAACTATTGAGGTAAACTGCGTTGTAATTGCTGACTAATTGGCGGTGCACTTTTGTTGTCGTCAATCATGATCTTAGCCACTTGTCATCTCAAGCAAGCCAGGATTTATGGTGAGCTTTCAGAATTCCTCAGAGATTTTCAAACAATGCGGTCCTCCAGCGTCTTTCCACTGACGCGATACTTGACGAATCATAGTGAGATTTTCATTGTGAAAACAACTAGCTTACACACTGTGGTCAGCCCCCTCTCCATTTCATGAGCGTGGGTTCTATTTGTTATATTTCTAAGGCCGAACGGAGTTGGTTATGACTGGGGTTAAACGTAAAATCCATAATTCTTCGGAGTGAACACTTGAAATTAATTGCTTTACCTTTCTCGTGTCCTGACGTTTTGATCACTTCCGCTTCTGGCGCACTATCCTGCAATGGAATGAGAGTTAGAAGGTGAAAAGAACGTACTGCTTCCCAACTCCAAATATTAGTATAAATTCATGTTGTGACTTGAAAGAATACGTAAATTCATCATACTTTCCAACACCGTAAAATGCTCAGCAAAATACTAGGTTTTCCAACACCCATCCAACCCCCCCTCCAAACAAAAAAAACATTTATTTTCTTCCAAATAAAGTAAGGTGATGGGTGCACCCCTCATATTTAGGCCAGAAATATGTCCGCCGATCTCATTAATAAAAGTTATAGACTCAAAATATTCTATATTAGAGGGCCCTGAGAGCCATGGAACTGAGGAATCGAAGAAATATGAGACTGGACCTCTGGGCCGGACTCAGGGCTTCCAATTCCGAGCAATTTGGATGCAATCGGGTTTGAAAGTGGCACTATTTGAGCCATTTTGCCGAGGGAGGGTTTTTCAAAATGGCTTCTTTTCTGGACAGGGACATTTTCTGCATGTTAGGGGTGGTCTGCTTCTAGTGAAATTTTCTCAAAAATTCATTGGTAAACCCCCCGAAAATTGAAAGGAAAATTAAAGAGGACACGTGGAACGTCATTTTTCTGTGCAGCGTGAACACCTGTGGGATTTGTATTTTTAAAATATTTGTGGAGTATGGGGATTTGTCACTGCTGTCTATGGGAATTTATTTTTAGTGGTTCACTCTGATGTTGGACATCAACGTTCAATCTGTAATAGCGCCCTCAATGTAGTTTATGCTGCATATACAGATATAAAGGAAGTCCGAGTTCCTCTCGTATTCTTTACTTTTGAGGGAGGGCCGATCATTCGGGAAGATAAAACAGACGGTAGAAATTATTTCCTGAACACACCTGATGAGACATGTTCATTTATGTGGCTTGAACTGAATAAACCCCATGCTTGGGTTTGTACTTTCTGTATATAAGAAAAGACAGTCTTTGATTTTCTTTTTCGAATAAAGTATTTAAGGGACTTGAGCAAGTTAAATGTACGTTGGCCCCGATCCCCCGTGTTCCTGCTGTTTTATATGAACATGTACCAAGTACCAGTCACAGAACCAACCAGCGCGCTTGAACGTTGCGACATGCTGTAGGGTATAATAATTGTGGGAAAAATATTATTAGGTGGTCCGCGTGGTGCATGGTGCTTGGCAGTTTGACAGTTCACCGCGGTTTTTCAAAGATGCATGCATGCCGATGAGGACATACAGCTTCGTGTTCATAAATAAACCTCATGGCAGTTTGTCTGACCTCAGCAGGAAGGGGTTCTTTTTGTTCCAATCGCCAAACTACCATTCGAGTAGTCCGATTTGAGTTACTCGTCGAGTCGTGAATTGCGAAAAATTTGCACAACCGTAGATTATTTACGGTGTTGAAGGGCTTTAATGAACAGCGCACATGATTACATCATGGATTCGGCGGTGAAATAACTGCTGCGTAGGTGCATTGAATAATATCTCCCTCGTGTCTAAATACACTTGATGAGAACTATTGGGTTTAATCACAAAATCCACACTTTTTCTTAGTTTTGCTGTAGAGCCAAGGATACAGAAAGGGACCAATAGACTGGCACTAGGTCTTTGGCAAGCATGTGTAGTGATTTGTCCCCCGCCGCGAGCAAAATCTTTGGATTATCCTTGGGTGTTTTTTTTTTACGTGTTCCATGTAGACAATACTAAAGAAAACATCTCTATGCTGGGAAAGGGAAAAAAATGTGTGACATTCTGCAACGATTTCTGGGGGGAATATCTCATTTGGCATACCGTGTAGAAATTGCACTAAACTGGGCGTTTGGGCCGTTTTCCAATACTCATTTCCAAAGCCAATCCCCGATTGTGGGCCTGAAGCGTTTAAAATAAATTGAAGTACTGCAGTGTTTGCCTCTATTGCACGTTTACTTGATGTTTTGTGGCACTATATGACTTACTAGCACGCTTACAACTTCAAAGTCAGGCAGTTAGAAAAAAAGGTTGAAGCCACAAACGGAGCTGAAGTCGTGTATTAGAAAACGGCCTTAGAGAACGTTTAGTTACTATCCGCCCCGAGTTGAAGTGCACCCCCAAGCGCACAGATATTACGCGTATTCAGCGTGCTCTGGTTCAAACGCACTATTGATTTCCATTATAAACGCATGCCTGTGCGGTGAGTACATTGATCTCCATAATGGAGATGAATGTTGAGTAGCAAAAAACACGCCCTCAAAACACGCTCGGAGCGATAAGCACGCAGTTTTACTCCGCGCCGATCGGGGTACATTGAACAAATTCTGACCCCATTGAAAATAGTGTAAAAATCAACAAAGTTTGCTGCCCCATGGCGGGCAACTTAAGTCCCTGAGGCCTCTCAAACAATGTGTTGTTTGGTCCTTCAGATTTCAATTAATTTTCAATTTTTAGTACGTTAACAAATGAAATTTTTAATTATCCGCCAAAACCAAACTCACCCCCCAAAAGTGAATGTTCCGTTTTCTCAGCAGCCATTTTCAAATGACATCCCTCACCTTCTCAGGCTCTTCTAACAAATTTTCAATCACATTTTTTCTGCTTTGCCCCCAGATAGGTGACCATGAATCTACAGAGATAATCCTGGGTTATACTGACACAATCCCACAATTTCTTGGCCTAAACAGACCCTTCTTTCCGAAAGAATCTGTCAGGGACACTTTTTAAGCGCCTCCGCTGTCGGAGAATTTTCCTTGAATTGGGACAGTGGACCACTGATCTCTACCACTGATACTGACAAGAGATCAGTGCACTGCACGCACCGGTTCACCCCCGCCCCATTTATGCGGCCCCATTCCGACACTGCTGTAAATAGCCGAACACTAACGATACTATCCGAATGTGGACAGGACGTCGACATGTTCGGAATATGTCGGCTGTTTCCGGAAACTGGAGGAATTCATTGTGTTTTGGTTACGAATACCCATCACAGTATAAAGACTTATGGTTATACCAGCATAGAGGGATCTCAATACGACGCTTTTATTAGCGTCGATCTGCGCACTTCCGCGTTTGAAAACGAGGCTGTATGTGTCAGTTTCAATTCTAAATACGATCAGACGATTGAAAGTAAGGAGTCAAGACACAAAATACATGAAGGTATGTTAAATTTAGACTTTTCAGGCTGCAAATTTTTGTGGAAGAGTATTTCAGGATGACTCGACACGTAAAATCAAAAGAAAAAATAACAACAATTTACCGCGAACTAACGTACCTGCGATTGTCGTGTATCTTGTGCAGTGGACGTGGTTTAAACTGAAGTGGTGTCACACTTACGAACGGGATACTGTATGTACTGTGTCGACTCCGCGTGCGCGCGCGACGAAGTTCAACACCGAGAGCCTCGGCTTTGATCAAAGATCGTATAGCGCCGCGCGGGGCAGATGCGCGCAGAGGGCGCTAATGTGAAATCCCTCTGGTATCCAGCCAGACTAGGAAATTTTGTCGAGAAACTGGCGTTGAGGGCGGCAGAGCACGGCGTGGTTATGTTTATGTCAACTACACGCACAGTCCCCGTACGTACATGTATACCCGGACCCATATGAGTTCGCAAACTCGCACGACACACACGGATCACGCCCTACGAGTAAACGCTTGCGACACAGAGTCGACAAGGGTGACACCAAATGGGAGCATAATGATTTGTAGGATTTATGGAGAAATAAATTCCATTCTTTTTGGTGCTTTTCAGAAGGGAAATTTCTCTTTGTCTCTTGTTGATCGGCGCAACACGATACTACACAAATTTCTGTAAATACATGATCGAATTGGAGGTTTTCCAGCGGCCTACACAACTTTCCGTATTTTTCCGGAGCAAGCGGAACAGTGTGTGTAGTTGCGTACGTGCACAGGAAACGAACAGAAGGGCGTAGATTCATATTACATGTATGATGAAGGCCTACATGTATACTGTACATTGTACAGTACATGTATGTACAGTACCCGTATTGCAAGTTGTGGTGCGTAACGTTTGAGCTGGAATTGGCTGCTTTGCCTCAGGTTGGTTCTTGATTTAGATGTTAATAGTATATTTCGTATAGCCTTATGATTAGACTTCACAAAGTGCTAAAGAGGTGAAATTTTGAGCAATAATCAGCAAACTTGCAGTAGGTCTAGGCCTACTTAGCTGGAACGTGGAAGGGTGCGAGACCAGGCCGAGGTTGCACAGGTAGCCTACATCCATCGCGCCCAGTATGCGCCTGGGCTATATTACCCAGTCCATAGGCAATAATGACACAAGGAAATCGCTTTTTTGTTTTCTTTCACGATTTCTAAGCATTGTGTCAGACATTTGCATTTTCCACAAAACTAATTTTTTGTTAGGCCGAGCCTATGTCATGTACATGTATGTGTACTCATGTAACATGATGTAGGCCATGTACATGTACTATTTGTAGGCCTGTAGCATTGCCAGCAGGAAAAGAATGAGGAAGGCTTCGTTGGTTTCTCCCAGTGCACCTGTAACCTCACCAGATGAAGCCAAAAAGTCATTGAAAATGCTAACAATATGCTATTACAATGATGCATCAGATTTTGATGTAAACAAAAATGGATAGTGGGCAGCTCTTTCTCATTTTTAAAAGTTCTTAAAATGTGCGTGCAAGTAGAATGTTGGCCCATGGTTGCTTTAATATTATTTTACAGGTATACACCCCTCAACTGATTTTTAGTGCTCTGTTGTTTTTTAAAATGATTGCAGTATTTCTTCACAAAAAAAAGAAATATTGGAAAATAATGAAATTGTAGTAGCTACACGTACCATCCTGAAGTTTCTGCAGTGGGCCCTGATTTTGCTTATGCCAACATTTGGGGCTGCTTAATGTTATAAGCCTATACAATAGTGATTACACACTTTGTGATTTCAAGTCAGTACTTGTTTAACATCCAAAGATCAGTAATTTTATCATTTGTACTATTTTGCAGCAACATATTTGACGCACAAATTGGCCCTGGTCTTTTTAATACATGTTGAATATTCCATGTTGATACAGAGGTTTTTTATTTTCTTTGTCACTACATGTACATATATGGTTACCAGCAAATATCTTATAACGCTGTGAATATGTGTAAAACGTTATCGCACGGGCGCCATTTGTGTTGGAATACGTCTGTGCAGTGCATGCAAAGGCGCAGGTGCTGCGACAGGCAGGCACACATATAGGCCGTTTCCAACTCAACTTCGTCTCCATCTGAGGCTTTATCTTCAAAATCAATCCTTGGTTGTACATGTAGGCCAGAAGCATAATTTTAAGCACCGTAATTTTTGGTTCTTTTGCATCTAACTTGATGTATTGTGGCGCTATCAGACTTACTATTACATTTACAACTTCAAAGTCAGGTAGTAAAAAAGAAACACTTGCCTGAAGCCTGAGACGGAGCTGAAGTTGAGTATTGGAAAACTGTGTAGGCCTGCGTATTAACGTTCACACTCGAATTGTGCCCATGATAATAACACCTTTTTGGCCAAGTTATCCATCTTGCACCGCTGCGTGACGCTATACAATCTTTGGTTACCAGCAACCAGCCACTGAGTACCGTCACTGAGTATGTACAGTGTACATGTACAGTATGGTTACCAGCAGCCAGCCACTGAGTATGTACAGTGTACATGTATGGTTACCAGCAGCCAGCCGCTGAGTACATATAGTGTGTATGTA